AAAGGATTGTTTGTATAGTTGACGGATGCCTGTGAAAGTTAGTCGAGTTCTAATTCAAAAGAAAAAAAAATTACGTATCAATGGTATGAACGTCTATCTGGGACACTTTGGCATACTTACCTAGCTAAGACATTATAAATCTGTCAATGAAGAAATTGAGGTAAAAGTACCGGTGTAGGAACGATTTTTAGGGAAGTTTTTTTTTCACGAATTTATACATACTCGTATATTTATACACACATCGTGTACGTCAGACAACATGGAACATCAGGTTTAAAGACTAGGACACGATTAAGTATTATTTTTATCGATCAAAGTAAATACTGCTTTTAATGTCTTGGATCAATTTTTTTTAGAACAAAATTTTTTAATTTTTATACAAGAAGTAAGCTGTTTCAACAACTGAAAAAGAATTTACATTAACTGGTACTTTTGCTTTATACTACTGGTAATAAGAGCATAGCTGCTAAGACTTGTATCGAGATGCACAGTATAGTTATGTTGTCATTCACTATAAAAAAAAGTCTTACGAGCGTATCATGTAAGTGTAAATACAATTTTCTCAGTATTACCCTAAACAACTACTTCTCATTGAAAGTTGAAATATTTGCACACGCAGTGTAAGATCGTGTAAAATTGTTATGTGAAATTTTTTTTTTTTTTATATGTTTACCCAGTTGGTGGAATTTCGGTTGTTCACAGAATAAAACAGATTTCTAAGATGGTTAAAAAAAAAATTATATTTGAGAGCTGTAAAGTCATCTCTCCAAAAAAACAAAATATACAGAACGAAAAAAAAATACATCCTAATAGCTTAAAATAGAAATTATCAACAATTATCTTAACCAACTGTTTTATGTTTAATAATAGATATCACATACGTTTTTTCACACTCGATTTCATCACCAATCGAATGCTGATATCGTGTACCTACTCATAGATCTCGACATGCATGCAATAAAAATTACAAAAAACGAGACACTGATTGCAATGATTTAAAATACGTATACATGCGTATACATCCACACAACGAAGCTGTTGTCCTGTTATACGAACGTTGATTTTAAAATACGACTTGGAATATACAACGTTTCTCGCACTTGCTCAATGACTCCTTACTTACAGCTGCGGGGGTAATATGTTTCGCTAAGTGGCAATCGATGTTTCATGCAAATTTCTTCAGGCAAGTGATAACGTATTTTATACGAGTGTCGGGAGATGTATGTGTGATTTTAAAAACCTAACGGAATGTATGTACGTGTATTGACGTGTATTTTTATTATCGGCTCGTGCAAATAAAATCCTTGGAATATTCATATGTATATTATATCCTGCACTGCGCGTTCAACCGTTGTAACGATAAAGTTGTTACTTTCGTTATCTCTCCTCGCATGATTGGTCAATAGGAATCCTTCAAAATTAAGTTCTTAGCTGTATTTCAATGAATTCAATATAAATATACGATGAATTGGACTTATGGATGAGCTTCAACTATTTCACGAGATGCTATTTGGGTATTGACAATAAATTTACAATAAATTATGATGGGGAAAAAGCTTACAAAAATCCAATGTGATTCTTTCAACTTTGTTGGAACTATTTTGACTCTAAAGATAAAATAAAATAGTGTATTCAATTTTATGGTACAAACAAACGCAGTAACAGTAAATAGCCCATATATTTAGAAATAGGGGTTGTTACTTGGTGCTGTTACCTTGATATACGTTACTTTATATACAGATCTCTTATCTAAAAAATACTATACATTGCAATGGATTCTTAAAAAATTTTTTTGTTTAAGTATACTTTCAAAACAAAAATTTTTTTTTTCATGCCTTCGAGAATTTACATTCTTAGTAGTAATTCACAGAAATTTGGAATAACATCATTTAACAGGTAAAAAATTTTTGTTAAACCAATTTTATGTTTTTAGTAAATTTTACACTTACTTTTGAGCTCTTTTTTAATTTTTTTGAATTTTAAGGTAAAATCATTCTTGTTTAAGAGCCATGTTACAGTTGTTAAGTTAAATTACTGCAGAGTTGAGAGAAAAAAAAATCGTTTAAACCTGAAAGTTATTTTACAAAACAATTCAGATGAAGTTTACTCAAAGATGACTCTAAAAAGTATTTTAAAAA